TTATTGAAATTAGATAATTATTAGTTGGCTTACATAGCGGGATTTGTTAGGTGCCATCACGACTAGTGGATTTTGGGTCGTGACAACAAGTTTCCCGTAAACCTTTATAAGCTTCAGGCACTTAAAACGCTTCAAGAATTTTCATTTAAATTTCATTGTCTAATGTGCCATACAAATAGGCTGTGACAATATCCATCAGACGCATATCAAGTTTTTCATGGACTGCCATATTTATAAGATACCTGAAGGTGATTGCATCCACTACAGGAGAATATGTCTCCATATAATCAATGCCAGGCCTTTGCAAAAATCCTTGTGCCACAAGTCGTGCTTTATATCTAACGACTTCATTTTTATCATTTCGTTTTCGCACAAAAACTCATTTATATCCCACTGGCTTTATTCCTTCAGGTGTTCGAACTATACGTCCGAATACTTTACGTTTTTCAAGTGAAGTTAATTCGGTCTGGTATAGCATCTTTCCATTTTGGCCAATCATATCTCTGTCTACATTCATCGACGGATCTTGGTTCAAGATCCTCATCTTGTTGCATTATTCAGCAGCAACATTATAAGCAAAAATATTATCGACAATAATATTATTTCATCCCTTGCCATGCCCAAATATATTTATACGACCATGATAATTATTTTATCTTCTTTCAGACTTTTGATTTATCGTTATCACATTCGCTTCTGGGAATGGAGCTGATCCGATACTGAGGCGGACTTCATAATTTTTAATTAAAAGGTATCATTTTTGCACTACCATTATTATATCATTAATGTGGGTCATTTGGACCTGAACCCAATGTCTTACCCATATGAGACGTGTTAGGCCATAATATGATAGGACTTGAATCCAACATCTTATCATCATGGTGCACCAGGACTTGAACCTGGTGTCTTACCCTCATGGTGCAGTGGGACTTGAACCCATTTTCTTATGCTCATATAATATTTATCACAAATTATCTCATTCTCTTCAGAGAACGGAACATGATTTTAGATCGCCACAAATTCAAATATTGATAAATTTAATATAGTATAAAACTATCTTACTAAATAGTAGAATTAATCTACATGATAAAAAAATTGTAACAAGTAGTATGCCATAAATATTCTGGGTATAAATATACAATGTCATAAAGGCATATTAATAGTAGTGAATCATTAAGGCAATAAAGAGATATTATAGTCATTCCATGCAAATTCACCAACTGCTTTCAACACACTAATTCATATGTACTATAACTAGTAGTCCCGTTCGATTTGCTACATATTACTAATATTTTTCATCGTCCAAACTTACGTAAATATAAATATCGAAGATTCAATAACTAATACCTTTTGGAATTAAGTAAATCAGGATGTTATCATTATTATTCCATTAAAAAATGTCACGCATATTTCTTCTTTGTTATTCATACAGCCAATTGAAGATTGGGAAGTTTTCATATTCTTCATAAAGAAAAAGAAAAGAAATACATCATAAGTAATACTGAAAAATTTAAGAACAAAAGAAACTATACTTAGGAAAATAAATACTTACAACATAAAATATTTTATTCAATATGAACTTCATAAAAAAATTATTCTTATAATTTTTCCCAGTAATAAGTCTTCAGTTATGATGCTAAAAAAAGTCTCAAGCTTCTAAATGAGTAATATCTGCAAGGCATTCAAAAATATTATCTTTATAGGCCAGGTTTTGCTTCAACTTTATCATGATTATTCATAGGGTCCGCCTCAACATCATTTCGAAAGGTCAAGTGAGTCTCAACCTTATTTTATTTCCCTTTTATGGAGGCTTGATAAAGTTTGACAAAATGTTCGGGCGTACGACAAATTCATGCCCAATGATTTTTCATACCACATCGGTGGCAAATATTATCTTTGCCTTTTGAAGGATTATTCTGAGAACCCTTATTGTTCTCTTGTTTATAACGACCAAAGTGATACAAAAAAGAGTTACAACTTTAGTTGTTTTCAAATTGTCTTTTTTTTCCCGAAGAATTATTCATTGAATGTATCGTGAATAAAGAGCTGTCAAATTAATTGGACGAAAAAATAATATACAGTCAACCCTCTTTATAACAGCTTCGTTTGTTTCGATAATTTTGGCCGTTATAGATAAAAATTATTAATATATCAGTTTTTCCTTTCTAATGTTACATATAAAAAATAAGAAAATTATTCAAATTTAAAATCTCAAAAGATATGCGTATTTCACTAGTTAAATATTGACGAAAGCTAATATATTATTAATAAATTCATAACTAAATGAGAAAGATTTAAACTCTAAGGCACACAATTAAAGCTACTTAAAAAATGAATTCTTTCAAGATTAATTGAAGAACTTTGTAATTCTAGCTTGTTTCGTAGATTTCATTCTCTTACTAGCGATATAACACTTGAATTGGCGAAGATTCGTATCCAAATTTTCAGCAAAAAGATATCCAATAGCTTTCACTTGAAGATAATCTAAGAGCTTCACAATTAAATCTTCTATCTAAATATTTTTTGGTATTTGTCCACTAGAAAAGATATCATGTGCAAATCTTTAAATCTTATGTCTTATGCAAAATTGGAACTTTGTGCAGTGGAAAAGATTGTGGTCATATTTTTAGAATTATTATTAGTAACCTTAAAGATTTTACATGGCTGTTATAGAGGGGTAATTTTACAAAGAGCGTTCTGCTATAAACATGGTTGTTGTTGTTACAGGTAAAATGCTATTATAGAGGTAAAATATAACTTAAAAAATCGATTCTGAGAAAAACTTAATTTTTATAGTGAATGACCATTATATGAGAATAGGGGTGTGCATTCGATTTATCGATTCGATTTTGACCCATATCGATAATTACTTATCGATTATCGATTTGTACATATGCTTATCGTTATCGTTTCAATAAGGTTTCGATTTCGATTTATCGATTTTTGGGGCTTATCGATTCGGTTATCGATTACACCAATAAGAAAATTTGCGGATTCCACGGAAAGTATATCGCTATAAACACGCCTATAACAAACTCAAATTTCATTCGCCACCCTTCTTCTATTTATACCTTTCAAAAACTCTCTCTCCCAATTAGAACAACTATTTCAAATTCCAAATACCCTGTACACTATCAATAATTAATGGAAACACTAATGGAGGAAGAAGAGTACAACTGGAGAGAAGTGAAGCTTCCGTCGCTCATACCAGTGGTGCCGCCGTCTGAATTGGAGAGAGAAACAGGAGAGAGGTGCCGTGGACGGGACATAGTCATCGCTATTGATCACGGTCCTAACAGCAAGCACGCTTTTGATTGGGCTGTCACTCATATTTGCCGTCTCGCTGATACCATTCATCTTGTCCACGCCGTCTCCAGTTAATTTACTTTTCTTTTTCTTTTTCTTATTAGAACCAAAATAATGGGTAGAGGAAATAATAGGGTTACGGACTTAGGGTAAAGGAAAGGGTATTATAGAATAAGGGTATATTTATCTTTTTAGTATATCTTATCTGTTTATCGATAAACCGATAACCGAAGAGGACAAAATCGAAATCGAAATCGATAACTCGATAAGGAAAATGTCGAAATCGAAATTGAAATCGATAAATCGATAAGCCGATAACAAATAATCGATTCGATTTATCGATAAACCGATTCGAATGCACACCCTTATATGAGAATGCTGTAATATAGAGGTCTGACTGTAAGTAACATGTGAAGTTTTAAATGGCGACGTGTAATTGAGAAAGTAATCCAGCAACGATGACTTTTATTTTCATTTTACTTTATTTTGTGATACAATAAATTGTGTATCACAAAATAATTGTGTGATACATAAATATAATAATTTTATCCGAGCTACAATAATTGTGTTTCCCAAATATAATAATTTTACCATTACGTCTAGCAAGATTGACTATAATATATTACTACTATTGTAATTGAGCACCAAATCAATATATTGTTACGTTATTACCATAATCTTTCATCTAACATCATTTTTGGACAACAACTATTCTTCATTTCCAAACTAATTAGATTCTAATATATGAACTATTAAATATACATTTTACTGAATTTGGACTTATATCGTATTCCGATTTTTTGAATAGGTACGACAAGTCATAAATTATTTTTTATAAGGTCTATCTAAAACTTAAAAACGTAAGAGCTGTAATGTCATTTTCTAAATTAAAAAGTTCAACAAAATTAAGAAAATTCATTCCTTTTTTATTGACTTAATCATTGTTGCAGGTGTCTCACGTGCCATCAAAAGTACACGTGTCAGCCTATAAAACCTTGCTGCAACGTCATATCTGTAACTGCTGGTGGGTAAAACAAAGTTAAAATATCATGGTATAGCCAGTTTTCACACTGGTCAATAAAAAATAGCCAGCGTTTATCAAGTCAATGAAAAATAGCCACTATTTTGCTGTAACAGGGACCGGTCCAGTATAATATACCGGAGTTTTGGTGCATTTGTGTACGAACTCCAGCATATTATGCTGGACCGGTATACTTTGCTAACTCCTATAAAATTTGCGGGAGACTGGAGCACCAGTGCTTCAAACTCCAGTATATTATACTGGACAATTATACTTGCTGGAACTCCCGTAAAATTTGCGGGAGTTCCAGCATAATTATGCTTGAACTCCCGTAAAATTTGCGGGAGTTCCAGCATAGTTATCCTGGAACTCCCGTAAAATTTACGGGAGTTCAAGCATACTTATGCTGGAACTCCCGTAAAATTTGCCGGCGTATTTTTTCGGATTTTGAACAGTGTTTTCGCTTAGATTTAAAGTTGCTAAATTTCGATGACTTTTGAAACTTGACTATTTTCCAAAGACCAGTGGTAAATCTGGCTATTTTTGAATTTCTCCGTGAAACAAATAATTAACGTCATAACAAAAAACAAACAAAAAAAAACTAAAAAAGCAAAATAACAGAAATTTAAGAGCTGAAAATCTACAAAAAAAAAAAATAAAAAAAATAGAAAAACATTTGAAAAGAGCTTTTCTTTTTCTTCTCACTTTCTCTTCTTCTTCTTCTTCGATCCCATCAGAGCCCATATTCTGAATCAAATTTAGGTTTTTTTCTCCTTCCCCATCATTTTAAAAGCCTCTCAATTACTCGAATTTTTACCCATTTACCCCGAAATTGAGAATTGAATTTGTTATTATTACTCACAATTATTTCTTGTATATGAAATGAAATGTAGATTTGATTGACCTGTTTTGTTATAAGAGAATCTGGAGTTTAAATTTTTTAAATTAGGGTTTTGGGACGAGGATTTAAGAGGAAAGTTTTGATTTTATGCGAATTTGAATGGCGTCAGCTCAGGTGCTAAAAAAGCAAGAGCATTTGCAAGCTGGGAAAAAGAAGGTACTTGAGTTTTTTTTGTTTTGAATCTTAGAAAGAGATTGCTTTGGTTTGGTTTAAGGATATAATTTGTTAAGGTTGTAGGATTACTTAATTTACTTGATTGTTTGCAAATTAATGTTTAATATTTGGTAATGTCAATGAGCTGAGTTCTATGAGTGGTGAAGATTTATAATGAATCGTATTCTACTTCTGATTGGTTACAAATTGGAGCGCGGTAAAGAAATCTCTTCCTTTGAATTATCATAAGTACCTTTGAATTGTTATCATATAGTCGAAGTTTATGGACTCCCTATGTATTTACAAGAATGTGACACATTGAGGCTGATCCAGGATTTAAACTTTATGGGTTTGGGATGTGATCGAGCCCACTAACCATTTGACTTAGTTAGAAATTTAATATTACATATTTAGTAGATTTGGTCTGAGCCAAAGCTACTGAGATCAGTTGAACCCGTAGCTCCTACTGTAACGGGGAAATTTGAGGTGCACTGTCAAATTTATCCTTTATCATCCATAAACAAGGACTGCGACATGGCTTTTGATTTGTGAAATTTGTGCAATTTCAATTGTTTTGTATGAATTAAAACACATCAAGACTACGGTTTGAGGTTGTAGCTTGAGAAGGTGCTTTTTGTTGATACTTCCTTTTCATGTCTGGTGGTTGGATAAATTCTAGATTTTCAAACTGTTATAGACAGTTCTACTCAAGTGAGGCTGGCAGTGAAAGATATCACTCCCTAGATCATCTTCTATAAGGCAGAGCTTATAGTGTCACAGTTCTTGAACGGAACTACCATGAGATGAGACCGATGGTGATGCTTTTTGAAAGACTTGGTTATACGAAGATTTGATACTCGGAAACATGTAATCAGGTAAAGCTGGTCAGGGATTGATTTAGATGATAGAAAACCTTTGAGCCTTATGTGAAGCATCACTGCTGATCAATCTGATAGTTTTAGGTAGAAGTGAACATTAGCTGTGTTGAGATAGCTGTTTCTATTTTTTTGGCTTATCCCTAACAGTATAGCTGATAATACTGCATAACTGGTATACTATTGATTTCAGAACATCTTCTATTGAGGCAGTAGTTACAGGGTGTATACTTGTAAAAGAATTGTCATTTGTCAGTACAAAGATTCTAATATGTTGGCTGACTGGTTTTGGGTGGGGTACGCGTTCCCTTCCTCCTGTGCAACCAGGTTTTGGTTCCCAATACTACGACATTGGTGCTGATGTCTTTCGAAAGCACATTGGTGCGGATATCTTCTAAAAGATCGCCCCTTAAAAGCTGCGGACGCCATCTTTCAAAATGTTAATCTTTTCTTCACTTTGCCATTGTTTAACAATTTGAATACTTGTGACATCAAGAACTCCAAATAATATGAGTTGGTGTTGTCCCACAAGATGTGGCATCCTGCTAAAATTATGGCTATCATTATACGAACCTCTAGATTAATCTTCTTTCGTATTAAAAGAGGTTGTTGGCTGCTCCCTTTTTTTTCTATTCTTTCGACTTCACTGAATTGCTATTGCCTTGTCTATGTTCTGAACATCACCTGCTTTTGCTCTTTATAGAATTTGGTGCACTCCTTATTTATCTGATACTTCTGCAACTGTATCATTTGCAGCTAGAGGAGTTTCGCAAGAAGAGAGCAGCAGAGAAGGCTAAAAAGGCGACTCCAAATAGTCAACAACTTGCTGCTGATGGAGGCATAGAGAATCAATCTTCAGGAAATGAACACTCTAGAATTAAGGACTCCAGTGGAGCTGGTACATCTGATGCTGTTGGCAGATCTGTTCTAGAACCATCTGAAGTACATGCTAAGCATGATTTTGCGAAGCCTGATATTACCCAGAAGTCTGATTCAATTTTTCGCCAAGATGATAATGCCGGTGCTACGGCTAGTTTGTACAAGTACAATGATGATGCTGTTCTAACTTCTGCTGTTCGTGCCAACAGTTATGATTATGGTTCTTCCATCTCAGTGTTATCTCATTTAGAAGATAGAGGGTCTAAAAGTGATGAGAATATTAAGGTTTCTGAAAGAGTAAGTGATACTTATGACTCCACTGAGAAGAGGGAGAATGATGGGGCCTTAGAAGGTCTTCCATTCGGGTTTGCGACTAATCACTCTACAGCCATTTTCCCATCATCATCCCCCAATAATGAGAGAATTTCAAGTCAGTTCACTTATGATGATCTGGGTAAAAGCATATCGGAGGAGAATCATGCAAAGGATCATTCTGTAACTAATGATGGTACTTCTCATGCTTTTCCGTCAAATGTCTCACCTTCAAATTCATTTGGTTCTCATCAAGACAAGCCAAGTTATACAGATCGCTGGACTAGTGGCATGAGTTCCTCTTCATATGGTGGTAATTTTCTTGGTTATATTGTATCTGTTCAGTTCATCTAAGTTGTGCACCTGAAGGACCTTTGTTTCCATAATTTTTTGATCTCCTTTTCTCCGTTCTTCTTTGGTTTCTTTGACCCAGCGGACCGATTAGTGTAGTGCATTACTTAGCCACATTGATGGTGCGCAATCTGATATCTATATCCCCTTTTTTGGTAGATTACATGCCCCGTGCTAACAGTGTCACAAAATTTTATCCTGAAGTTGGGCGAAATGATGTTGCTGCGGGATCTAGTAATTTTGTGGTGCCTGATAAAGGATACAACCAGTTAAGCGGCTCCGGTATTGACTCGACTAAAACTTCTCCTTGGGCGTTGGACTCCAAGTATGATGGTTTTAGTTTTGACGCTAGAAGTTCTTCTAGTTACTCACAGATGTCTCCGCCCACAACTGGGGCAACTGGGAGGAGATCTCCATCTTTCCTTGATTCCATCAACATTTCAAAAGTTTCTGCTGCATCCCCTCCCTCAATAGGATCATTCGCTACAGACACATATGACTTGGTTCACCCTAAGGACAGTCTGGGTTCATCAAATTCTGAGAACTTGTCGAATCCTTCAAAATTTACTGGTAATGGGGTGGATCCATACAAGCATGCTGTTGAGAAAGATGCGGGAAATATGGACAATAGACATCCATTTTACTCACAAAAGCAAAATGAAGATTTTGCTGCTTTAGAACAGGTTATTATACAATTTCCCTGTTTTACATAGTAGGTCTACAATTGTTGAATACCATTTACCTACAAAAGCTCAAACTGCCCGTTACTTCCTGCCTTTTGGGTTGGCATATATTCTTATTGCTCACTTTAGTGAGAACATTGGACTGGAAACAAATGCTGTCCAGTCACCAACAATGTGATGCTTCTCATAAAGCAGATCGCATATTCAGCTACCAAAATTTCCTAAGTATCATGAATTGGTTCACATAATGGCAATTGATAGTAACAGGATTTAGAGTCTCCTACTCAGTTGACTGTGAAGACTAAATATTTCATTGTTTCAGGCCGCTTTCAAAAAGAGCAATTTCATAAAATTCAAGTTGTTAGCCACAATGGGAGTAAACTAGGATGTATAAACAATACTCATAACAACATATCTTGGTACAATTTTAGATGAACTGCTAACATAGGGCATACTAACATAGAGTTGTGTTTTGTCTAAAGGCATGTTAGATCGATTAGGTAGCATGAAAATCCTTTGACAAAAGAAAGAAAGAAAATGATGTCCGGTGCCTTTTGTTTTTAAAATTTATGAGAAAATGAAGAACAATATACCTTATTCTCAAGGTTTCTTTTGGAGTAAATGAGTAATAAACATATGATCTCTATCAAATAGAAAATATGTGCTAGAGAAGGTTCTAAAATAGTGTACACTGTCTAACATGTGGAAATAATGACATCCACTTTAAGAGATTCATTAGCCAGAGCTTTATTTAATTTGCACGTTGTAATATATATTTTAGGCGAGTAGCAAGTTCAATTCCTGCTGGGAAACCAGGTCTGGTATTCATGTGGGAGACGGTTGAAGCTTTTGAAGGGGGGAGACCCCATTATCTATCTACCGACTTTTGTAACCAGAGCCTACGGTTTTGTCGGTTATTAAAAATATACACACACACACACACATATTTACATATGTACATATACAATTTAAGCTGGAAAAAGAGAAATAATGTCAGTATGTTGAATGTGCTGAAAGGTAATTTGATGTGAAATGAACACTGCCCAATGCCCAATCATGTTTCTTTTCTTTAATTGTGAACTACAGAATGTCCTGTGCATTTATTAAGCTAAAAGAGTTTTTCTTCTGCAGTGAACGGATATGAGTGATAAACACACACCTTGTTGTTTCATTCAAATAATACTTTCAAGATTTATGAAGGTCCTATGCATTTGTTTATTTTTCTTGTTCCAATAAAAGAATGGTCCCATGCATTTGTACATATCCAGGGTTGATGGAGCTAAAGGAAAAGATAGAATAGGTATTTCTAGTGTATGCTAATAATTAAAGGACACTTGAACTTCATTCAGATAATATCCAAAATCAAGAATTGCCATCCTCCATTTCTATTGAGGGGTGGGACAGCCTATGGAAAGAAAAAAGATAGCGACATGCGTGACCCATATTTGTCCGGATATAGGATTTTGTATAGGATCTGTTGTGGTAAACAGTAACATGCTCTATGCTTATTTTCTACAGCATATTGAAGATTTAACACAAGAGAAGTTCTCCTTACAACGCGCTCTTGAGGCTTCACGAGCTCTAGCAGAGTCTCTAGCTGCTGAAAATTCAACTCTGACAGATAGTTATAACCAACAGGTATACTTTCATATTCTGCAGTTATTCAGAACTGTCAAAAGTCAAACATAGCAGGCTTTCCACAGGGAAGCAAATGCAAGCTTAAAATATATGTTACATAGGCCATGTTGTTTCCAAACCTGCTGGATCAGACATGGTGTGGCAGGTTGTTTTGAAGGACCAGTGTAACATAGCTGAGCAGTTAATCAGTCACCTGTCAAAACTAAAGGGTGTTAAGCAGTGCTGATCATAAAATTTGAAAAAGGACTTTTTGAGTCCACATCAGTTTATGAATTACATTCTCCTTTCTCTTGGTTGAGTTTTAGTTCTTATGCGTGCTTTTGTTTTTTATCCATTTTGCAAAACATCTACATGACCAGTTCATATGCAGGCCTCTCCTTGAAAATCTTAACACTTTTGGTAATGATATGTGTGCCTTTTCATTTTGCAATAAATCTACATGACCTGTATTTTCTTTTGTAGGGAAGTTTTGTTGCCCAACTAAAGGCTGAGATGGAGAAGTTGCAGGAGGAGATTAAAGTTCATCTGGTCTGTACAATCTTGCTTGCTTACCCCCAGCTGTACTGTATTACCAAATCTGCATTTTCCTTTTTAGCTAAGTTGCTTCACATGGCAGTTTAGGTGCCGCACCCGTGTCGACATGATACTAGTGTGGATGTGGGTATGGGATCCGTAACGGATCTGGTCAAACAATTTTGGGTACTTTGACCACAACCAACGGAAAAATCCGAGACGAGATACAATTTGATTCCCGAAATCAGAACCAATACTAGGGTAAATTTGAAGAAAATAGCATACGTTATCTAGCAAATCAATCCTTTACTTATCTACAACTTAGAAATCTACACTTTACAAGCTATATGTAAGTATTCCACAAAATTTCTCATAATTTAGAGATATTTTTTATATCTTTATATTTTTGAATTATTTTTAGCCGGATCCCTGTGCACCCGTATCCGTACTAGGATCTGTATCTCCGAATCTTAGAATTTACATCTCGAAGGATCCGACTTCTAGATCCGCTCCGTGTCGGACACTCGCACCCGTGTCCGAGCTACTTAGCTTTTTAGAGTCTTCTGGCACTTCTAGGTGTTCTGTTTCCGCAAATATTCAAAATGTTGAACTTTTGGAAGTTGTTATTGATGACTTGCATTTATTATCATTTTTTATAAGGACTTGTATTTATCATCTAGGCACCTTTGTTTTATTCTGTTTGATTATTATTATTATTATTATTATTTTAATTATTATGATTATTATTAATATTTTTATATATCTGACTTATTCACTTTTTATTTTTATTTGGTAATGATGATGACATGAGTTGAGCCTAAATGGAGATTCATATAGCCGACCCCAATGGCTGAGGCGTAGTTGGTTTGTGTTTTATTCCGTTTGATTTATCAAGAAGTATTACTGATCAATTTGTTTTGGGGTTGTTCATGTGACATCTTAAAAGTTATCATCCAGCACTATACGGATTGGAAGAGAACTAGTTTAAAGACGTACATTATCTTCTAACAGACTTGATTTGCTAATTTCTATGTACAAGTTAGAAGGTGAAGCAATATATACTGGTTATCCGAATCTTCCATTTCTTTACTTCCTACTTCTTTTTCCCTTTCTGCGGAGTGTGCAATAATAATATGGTTTTAACTCTTTAGAGTACAAATGATTTATTAGATGATCAAGAGAGTTGATTGGTTGTTGAAGAACTTAACATGGTTGCTTCTCAAGTATGTCACACTAGTATATATTACTCCCTTTGTTTCATTTTGTATGACACTTTCCTTTTTAGTCCGTTTCAAAAGAAAGACACCTTTTTATATTTGGAAACTTTTAAGTTTTAAACTACCAAGTTTACCCGTATGACATGCTCTTATAACCATAGAAATGTTCTGTGATGTTTAAGACCACAAGTTTTAAGGGTACTCTTGATATGTACCAGAAGTCTTTCTTTCTTTTTAAGGTATATGATTTGCTTTGTTTCTTGAATTCAATGTAACCAGGGTGAACTTGAAGCCGTGAAAATGGAATATACAAATGTACAATTGGAATGTAATGCTGCTGATGAACGCGCCAAGTTGTTGGCGTCCGAAGTGATTGGCTTGGAAGAGAAGGTAATTATCTGCAGTATTCCATTCTGTTGACCAAAATAATTTGTTAGGCGTGTCTATATCAATATAATTTGTCAGGCATGTATTGACTTTAAGGTGATTCAACACTACTTCCTCTTTGTTACTGGTTTCACATGGAAATTTGAAACTTGTTTAACTTCATTACCATACATCATAGCATGAATTAGTGTAATGTCATTTCATTTTTAAATTGTAATTTAGTGAAAGTCATGGTGTATAAATAAGTTGACAGTATTGACTTTGAAATAAGGAATTATAGACTTTGTGTTTCACTATCTAATTGTTTAGTTTTGAATTATAAGTCGGGTTTGTTCAATGTAAAACAAAACTTAAGCTGTTTAAGTGGAGCCTAATGTCCGGAGCATTTTTAACTTATGAGACACATCAGGTGTTTAATCACTTAATACTTAATTCAGTCAAATGGTGACAGCATTTCTTGCAAACGTATGCTATTCTTGTACTTCACATTTTTCGTAGGAGAAAACATAGTTCTTTGTCAAAGAAATTGATTGTTATGCAACTGCAAAGAAAATATAAATTGGCTTCTCCAGATGTCTGCAAAACAGTTTGTACCTTCTACCAAGTATTTCAAGGTGATGTCTTGTTAATGTTACTCACATATAATACTATGGTAGTTAGAGGGAAATCCGGTCTTTTTGTCCAGCTTTCTGATGGTCTAAGGATAACGGTTAACTTAATAGTTACTTGGATCAATAATGCTAGTCTTGGGTGATTGAGAAGTCCAACCAGTGTATTCTGTTTTACCCGTCCTTTTAGGTAAGTGGATGCTGTTTCTTTTTTCTTTTTTCTTTTTTTCTCTTTTTCTTTTTCATGTTTCTTTCCTGGGGATATAGAGTCTTTGCCAACTAAATATGAACTGTCACTTTTGAGCCTGTTCTTTCTTTTTATTCTCTCCCATTCTGTTTGTCAAAAAAACTGTTCTTGATAATTGGCTGAGACCGTAACTTTTTGTTCTTCTTTTTTTAATTTTTTTAGTTATGGGATATAGTATTATTTTTTTCTGGTCTTTATATTTTTGTCTACAACATTTTGTAGGCACTTCGTCTAAGATCTAATGAGCTTAAACTGGAGAAAGAGTTGGAGAAGTCACAAGCTGAAATGTCTTCTTTCAAGTATGTTCGAGGCTTGACTGTAAATTAATTAAGGCCGTCATGGTTCCACATAACTCTGTTCTGGTTATAGTTGTCATTTTCCTCTGTTCTCTATTTTTCCTCCCTCCTGTCATTTAGACTCCCCACCCTTTTAGAGTAGGCATGCATCTTTTCATTTTATAAAGCTGTAAAATAGTTTATCTCTGGTTTCTTTTATGAGGTGCCTATTTGTATAGATGATCTGGTTTTCTTCGTTGAGAACCATGTTTTGTTGTAGGTTCTCTTTTGTTGGCATACAGCTTACATACGGGGTTCTCCCCTTCTTTTAATAAAATTATTTACCTTGTCAAAAAAATAAAGAGGGAGGTGAGTTGTGGTTTAATTGTTTCCTGGTAATGGAAATACCGATTGTTTGATGAATGTGAAAAAAATATGCCAAATGGTGGCAGAATGTATTGCTTTTACTTATGATACTTCTAAAAGATTCATGGCTTCTGAAAGTAAATAGTTGGAAATCATATTGAGCAGCTGCATGTATATGATCTCATACTAATCTGTATTGGCATAAAAGTTTTAGCATTGAAGTGAATGTGGGTAGTGAATATCAGAATAAAAAAGTTGAATCTTTTTCCCATTGTCATTAACCTTTTAGATTTCTGCGGTGATGTGTATTGATCTCACTTAACTCTCTGTCTTCTTGCAGGAAGAAAATTTCCAGCCTTGAAAAAGATCGTCAAGATCTGCAATCAACAATTGATGCTTTAAAAGAAGGTAAGATATGGCTATATGCCTATATCTGCTTGTGCGTACAGAAAAAGCAGTTTGTTTTTATTTATTTATTGGAATTCAGCGTGCATCTGCAGGGACACATATGCTGTGTCATTTTCACAAGTTTACTGCCTTAAATTTTCTTAATTATACATTTCAGGATCGATAAATACATCCAACTATCAAAAATAAAATCACTAATCACACTCTGTTCAAAACGATTAAAAAAAAGAGATTACACCTAGTTCAATAAGTACATAATAAGCCACAAAAGAAGTACGTAATACTGACTATTCTGTTGGCAAAATGGTTCCGGATTTCATAATTATTTGTGATATTCTATGATGCAAGATCAAGAATGCCAAAAATCCAAGAAATTCAAGAAGCGAAGAATCCATTCAAGATTAGGATTTCTTTTTCTTAAAGATTATGAATTGTTATTTCTTATTTCCTAGTAATTTAATTCTTGTTTTAGTAGGATTATATTTGTAGTTCTAGTCAAACTAGGATTGTTAGTTGGTATCCCATTCTTATTAGAATTCTTTTTCCTGTTTTAGTTAAGATAGGTTTTCTTAGCCTTATTCTTATTCTAGTTTAATTAGGATTAGTTTTCTTAACCCTACCAATTTCACTCATTGTAAGGCCTATTTAAAGGGCTTAATATGCTGAAAATAAGGATTGGTGATTAGTTTTTCTAAGCTTTTGCTTCAAATACGTGATTGATCTTTTATTTCCTTCTTCTTCCTTTATTCTAACGCTTCTTGCAATCTTGCGGGATCGAGGAACGTGTGAGTGAGGTTTCTTTCCATCTTACATTCTTCTAACGTGAGTTTGAAGAACGCTTTCGCTAGTTTTGTGAAAAACTTTAGCGGGGTGCTTTTGTTTTTCTCTCTTCATTGTACTTGAGAGGTGCAAAAACTTGAAAGTACATCATTCTAGCTGTAATATCCAAACGTTGGTTGTGTTTGAGAGATATATAGGTCAACACGTCTGCAGTCTGGTCATTTGATTAAGATAAAGTACCAAAAATAGTTTTATTGCTTAAAAGTATTGACTGGACTTATTATAGATATTCTCATGGAAGCAGTCGTCCAATGAGTCTATAGGACTCCAACGAGCAGCTTCTGAGTACCAAAAACGAGTGCTTTGTTATAGCTTCAAAACAATGAACAGTATCTTCTGACTGTTCATTTTGTTTATTTATGGTACCCTGGCTCCTTTTTCCGGATAAGTTATAGCAGCATTGCTCCTTCAAGCCATTGAGGGGAAGGACCATTAAAATGCGAGCACTTTGTTTATGTGTAGATAATTTCATTATGCTGGAGTTCAGAAGATTCCTCTGCTCCGTCATTGTGGTTAATTTTGTCTTTTATTCAAATTCTTTTTGCATCCAGATGGTGTCTTTCCGCAGGAAATGATTGATCTGTCATCCTTTTTGCTCCCTTTTGTAACAAACTTCCATATTTCATGGCTGTATTTCTCTGATGAACGATCTGAGACTTGCACCTTACAAAATTTAGAGCTTTATGGCTCTGTCACTACCAAGTAGGGAAAAATGCTGCAGGAGTTATGATTTCTGAACTATTTTTGTTATATAATCTTTTGTGACTCTTGAAGTGATCTTGAGTTGTCAATATTCCTCCTACCTTTTCCTAATTTCTTTTTAATATGCCTAGTGTTGTGAGGCAATCTCTTTTCTTCATCATATCTTGATTCCTTTCTGTTTCCTGATTCTTCTTCTGTTTCCCAACAGAAAAGAAGCTTTTGCAGTCCAAATTCCTGAAAGCTTCTGCTAATGGCAAGTCAGTTGATCCTAGCAGGAGTATGCCGGCAAAAATAGATGTATCAACTTCTACAGAGGATCTCTGTATGTATTTCAAATTTCTCAAATTACTGCCTCATATCTTTTGAAGGCCTCTTTTATCATCGGATTGCTTTTTGTATATTTACATATTTCAATTTGTGTCCATTCAGGTGAAGATACTATTGCAAGTAGTACCATAGATGACCCTAATTTGGTTGGTGCTCATGGCCCCGCCTTCTTTTCTCTGGCTGATTTTGGGCAGCTTAGTCTTGAAAGTTTGTCACTGGCCATCCCTCCAGATCAGATTAGGATGATCCAAAACATTAATACATTAATTTCTGAGGTTGCATGATATCCTTGAGACTGATCATTTTCTACTCCCTCTAATTTAGTCCTATCTTCTTTGCTCCAAATAAAAACAGGCGTTCTTGACTATCAAATAACTAAAACATTGCACTACTTGGAATGATTGCAGTTAGCCTTGGAGAAAGACGAATTGACAAAAGCCCTGTCAGTCGAATCTTCTCAGAGCTCGAAATTGAAGGTAACTTGAACTGATTTACTAGACGGCAATCTCATTCAAATCTGCTTTTTCCTTTTCTTTTCACCTGAACTTTTTGATTCCTTTCTTTTTCCATTTTCTTATCTCTGAGTAAACTACATGCATAAGTGAACATGCTTTCTTTGGTCATATATGGACTTCTAATTTCTAAATACTCATCCCCTCCAACATGCTCAGACATTCTTTTTGATATCTGGCCAGCTTCATGTAGGTGTTTGTGTTAGAAGTCTCGCATTAATTTTCTTGAGGTTCATAGCTATGTTGCGCGGACTCTCCAAAATGTAGCCGCACCCGTGTCGGATCCTTCAAAAACGCACTACTCTTGGAGGATCCGACACGTATCCGGCCACATTTTCGGAGAGCCCGAGCAACATAGGTTCATAGCTAGTTTAAAGGTGGATACTAATAATTTTGTTTCTCTCATTACAATATTCTTGGGGAATTTTCCTTCTGTTCCTTTTGGGTGTAAAGGAGTTAAACAAGGACTTAATTCGAAAGCTTGAAGCTCAAACTCAAAGACTGGAGCTTTTAACAGCTCAAAGCATGGCAAATGATAACAGCCAAGCAAGGCAACCAGATTCAGTGTCTGTACATGACAATATGGCGTATGCTGATGAAGGAGATGAGGTAACTTAACATATGTTGCTTTGTAAGCCTTTTACTGATATGACTTCTAATTACTGCTGTTGTGTGCTTCGCCAGCCTTCTAAAGAGGTTTTGTACTTCTGTTGCCTTTCTATCTTTCAATTTTAATAGTTCTGCACTTACTGCTGTTACCTTTCTTTGCAAAGGGAACTTTAAGTTTCAGTGAGATGAATAAATGACAAGGCCTTTATGCTCTAGGATTCCTTATTTAAAATTCATCTGTAAACGGTAAACTACATTGATTATAGCAAGCTAAGACTTGAGTTTGAACTTGACTCTTTCTCCTGGAGTCAAGTTGCTGGAAATTGTCCAATATGGCATCAGGTTGTATAATCTTGCATGTTGGTGCATATCACGACGCTGATAATATCCAGTATGATTAGTTTGGAGGTTGCTGTAATTTTTCCTTTTTTGTTTCTTTTTTTTGCATGTCATTTGGATCAGGTGGTGGAACGGGTCTTGGGATGGATCATGAAGCTATTTCCTGGAGGGCCATCAAGGCGACGAACCAGCAAGCTTCTTTAATCTTCACGGCAAGAGTATAATGACGAGTTTTTTTTTTGTGAAAAGCTAGTCTTTTGCTCCTCTCCAGCCCTGTATTTTTGGTAGCCAGACGGAGTTCGGATTATGTACATTATCCATGGTTTACACACACCCCATTTTTTTCACCAGAGAAGCAATTTGTATCTAAGAGGCATATCGGAAGACGGGATAGCCAGTTCTCGACAGTTTTGGCAATAAAACATGATTTCGTTGTATACAAGGATTCATTTATCAAACATTGTAATGAAGATCAGAGACAGAGAAAGATTTGGGGACGTCTACAGTCTACTTGATGTATTTCCAGAAGATGTCTTTAGTTGTCAATCATGAGAAGAAAAGGCTCAGATGTACTTTTTTCTTTTCTGGAAATGATTCTTTTTATATAAATATATTGTCTTCCTTATGTTGTATTTACTGGGACTTTAAGAAGCCAAATATATCTAAAAGATGATGTTGGCTGCCCTTTTTTACTTGCTCAGGAACCAGAACTCCATTAGTTTTTCCATTTAATTAATTATAATATTTTGTGGGTTCTTTGTTCTAGACAGGCAATATATAAGCTCAGTTGAATCGTGATTTGTATCTTCCTTTCCAAGTGCAATGCATGTCCTCCAACAAATGGGATTACAATATTTTTTAATGATAATGGTATTCGGGCTAGTTTATATGTAGCTCAATTATTTTACCAAATAACTTTTATTGGCACAAATATTGAGTAACTCCATCCGTCAAGAACAAATATGAGAATGACTTCATTGTTTTATGAAGTGTGACAAAACCGATGATATTCAAAATCAAACCAAAACCCATTATTTAATATCCCTTCTATTCAAATTTATTGTCCAAAATTGATTTTGATAGTCCAAAAGGAAGAATCAGTATTATTCATAGTTACTCTTTGCAACCTAGCGTCAATTATTTGAATGTAGCCTATTATAGGCTGAAAATCTTGAACAAAATTCTTAGTGAAAAGTAGTACTCCTTAAATTAATCAATTTGACCTTTTCAGATACCTAGCACGGATAGTGAATTTTCTTTAATATTTCAACATATAATTTGGGTTTGGCGACACGGAGGGAGTTTTTTTTTCTGCAATCTTTTCCCTGTTTTAAAATTTATAAAATTGATTAATTTAGGTTTGCGCAATTTAAACTCGACAAACTGCTGATTTATGAAAATACTTGATCTGGAAATATTCTTTTGAACTTTATCATGCAAAAAATCAGAAATATCCAGTTTTACAACTGGTAATTGAAAAATAGCCATAGTTTCAAAAGTAATGAAAATTTAGCCATCCTATATCATATATGTGTATGTGTAAATACAGGTGTGTGTGTGTGTGTGTGTATATATATATATATATATATATATATATATATATATATATGGTTCTTTTTATTCTTAATCGAGCTGGATAGTTGAAAATTATCATGTCCAATTCCTCGGGGGATTGATCTATAAGAATTCACCTATCCCAATAACAAAAAAATCTGACTTGAATGATCATGTATTAAGATCTCTCGAAAAGTACTTAGTGCACATTTCGGTCAACTCTCCATCATCTTTCTTTGGCTGAGCGACATGTATTCCACGGATTTTTCATGTGAAGATATAATATGAATAAAAATACCATAAAATCGGGAAAAAATCTAGCATAATATACTGGAATTTCATAATGTGCTGGAGTTCAATATAATATGCGGGAATTTTAAATGGAGGAGCTCCATAATCTAGCATATTATGCTGGAACTTTCCGTGTTTCAGCAAAATAGTGCCTATTTTTCAATGACTTAGCAAACGATGGCTATTTTTCGATTAGCAGTCCGAAAACTGGCTAGGCTATACTATTTTCACTTCTTTTTTTGTTCCATACAGGGGTGGATTTAGAGGCAAATATACGGGCACGTGAACCCATGGTCTTTCCGCCAAACTAGGTATCTTATGTACATATTTTTTAGAATTGATATAATATTATTTGTTGGCACCCATGCTCCAAATAGGCTAAATGGTGCACTTGGTTAAATGTTTAGTTATTAGCCTAGAGGAGTAGGGATTAAATCCCTCTTACTAATTATTTTTTTCTTCTTTCTTTTGGTGGTACACCCATGCTATAAAAATCCTAGATCTGTGTCTGGTTCCATAGCATAAGAGACTTCTTAGATATATTTTAAATATTTTTTAACTTTATCACGCTTCTTTCTAATATCCTCTATATTTCATTGTTCCTTATATATTTTTATAAAAACCTAGTGTTAATCAAAGATTGAGAGTTACTGCTTTTTTTTTTCTTTCTATTTTTCTTTACCGCATTAAGGAACGTGGTTTACAAAATGTTAGTAAATGACAGTATTATTTACAGTTCCATTGCATTTACTAGTCTTATGAATCTTTGAACGTTCAAACCACAAAAGATGAACCGAAATTGTCATAAAAAATGCATGATTTATTTTTTGGATTTCTCGATTTGGTTATGGTTTTACTTCTCAATAAATTGATAGTTTATGCGAAACTTATGTCTATCTATAAATATCGTAAACACCAACATATGAAAAAGATAAATATAATTAGGTCCTACAATTCGTATTTGGTACTGTATTTTAATATATTTTGAATTATTACAACTGCACAAGTATCCCACACCAGGTAAACTATTAACTTCTCTCTAATGATAATTATTATTACTTGCAGTATTTACAAGATTGTCTTGTACGTAGCATTTAATTAGTTGAGAAAATGTATTTATCAGTACACCAGCTATTTAAAATAATGCAACATTACACTAATATTATAGCGTGAATGAGCGACTTATCCCACATCGTCATTGAACAATACTTTTTCCTTATTTATAATAGCCAAAGGAGAGAACACTAACCGCCGAGCTCAGTAGTGTGGGCTTGTAACCCAAATGGGGGCATTAATGTAGTGGAATGTTGGGCTGCTCCAGATGGTAGGGCTTGGTGGGCTAGTTTCTGGCCTGTCCTGTCCAAGCACAGAGTTGGGTCACGTGGCCCAAGCGAAAGCATGGGCTGCTGGGCTCCTAAAGTGGGGCGGACCGCGTGAGGCTGGTTTCACAGAGCAACGAATAGCTCCCGCTCTGTGCAGTGGAAGGATTACGGGCTGGTGTTCTCCAAGCCCAACAAATGCCTCATGGGCTGCTCCAGTTAAACCTCTACTTTTTGGCCCATCTACCATTACTTTTTTAACCATTATTTTACTAATTTTTCCTGTTGCCACTTTAATAAAATCAAAATAAATATCTCTAACTTTTTATGTAGTCAAACAATATCAAAACAAATTGATATAACGGGAGTATCTTATTTTTTAATTACATAAGTATACAAGTATTATACGTTATCTGTTTCAACTTAAATGATATTTTTTTAATTAGTTTTTTTTATTTGAATATAATTTGACTTTTAATTTTTTTTAAATATTTTATCCCTAATGATAAATTTTTGCAGCCACAAACATATTATGGTCCCGTAAAATGTGAAGGATCACATGTATGAAAAGTGTTTTTTTCCCCCTTAAATTTTGTAAAGTGTAACTATGTCATCTTAAAGTGAAACGGAGGTAGTATTATTTCATAAACTTAATGTAGTACCACACGACGTCGTTAAAAGCACGGCTGTTGATTTACGTTTAATAAATTTGTGGCGCAAAACAATTCTGCAGATACACACACCCACACCAAGCTCACTGGTGACAGAGTAAAATAACAATGGCGTTGCTCACTGGAAACCTCCCTTCTTTACCTTTCAACTTTTCCATTATTTCTTCTTCATCACAAGGTTCTCTTCTCAACAATTCTACCTACACTTTACTAATATCAAAGACAGGAAAAAAAAATAAAAAGAAGATAAAACAATAACAAGCTATAGCTACAAGTTTTTTTTTTTGAAAGAAAATGCTAAATTATATTGATTATGTTACTTGAATTACTTTACAGAATCGAAAACAGTGAAAATTAGAGAAGATTGGAGGAAAAAATCACGACCTATTCCTCCTGGTGGGACTTATCCAGCTAAAGACCACTGCAGGTTCATTCTTCTGTTTTTTTCTTTAAGTTTAAATTTATTAAAATTTTAACTTTGCCTCTGAATTAGTATCCAGTACTCCATCTATTTCATTTTAGGTTACACTTGTTTGACTGGGACGGAGTTTAAAAAAGACTTAAAGATTTTTGAAAATTATAACCTTTAAACAAGTCATATGCATTTGTGCGGCTACAAATCAATCATTAAAGGTATAATAGTATAATGAGGATTTTAAAGTAAAATTTTATGAATATAGAAAGGTGTCATTCTTAGACCGACTAAAAAGAAAAGTGTGTCATATAAATTGTGATTACGGGAGTATACACTTTAAAAAGGTAGGATAATTGAATGAGTTTGTTGGGTATATTTAGACAAGAGTTGAAAATTAGAATTAATTAAGTATTTCCTTCTAATAATTTTTTTATTTTTTATTGTTAGATATTTCGTAGGTTAGAATAGTGAAAATGTTGTAAGGAGAAGATAAAAAGAGGGTCTCCTGTTGTTATAGTTTTTTGATTATTATGTGTTTGAAATGTTTTCTTTTGAGGAAACTATGGTGTGTGAATTCTCATAAAATTCATAGTAAATGTGAAACAATTATAGAATAAATATGCGGGATATTGGACATTATTTGGCAGAAGTGAAAAAAGAATGTGAAATGTGCAATTTGAAATTAAGGGAGTGTTTCGTTGGGTAAAGCCTCATAGTATTTCCGTTTATGCATATTTTAGAATATTTCTGGTGTTAAAACTTGAAAGAAGTACTTTGGGGTTAATTTTTTTATAAATGGAAAGAAGAAAAGTTTGAATGTGTTATATGTTAAGTTTGCTAGGAAAGGAATATGTTAATCTAATGCTTGGAAGACTGAAAGTAATTGCCGATGTCACATGAATGTCGTACACAATAACTGATGATATTACATACTAGTAATTCGACGTTTTGGATGATTATAATTTCAGTATGTTGTTTCACCATATCTTCATACTTATTAAAATTAATTGCTTGCCAATTTTGTGACATTTTCTTAATAATCATATTTAGTTTAGTGGTACCAGGACTAGCTATAGGTTTTTATATAACTTTCTGATGGTCGTATAATATTTTCTGGTTTGCAGCCAATGTGGTTTGTGCGACTCTTACTACATTGCCCATGTCAAGAATGCATGTGCTTTCTTGGGGGATGGCATGTCTAGAATTGAAGTGAGTCTTTCTCCGCTTTTGTACTAGTCATGATACTGTTAGCTTTAGTTGCAGTTCTGATTGTTTATTATCTTGTGACATTTCAAGATTTATTTTGCCCAATTTCGCACAAGTTCATTTTACTTGTTCTTCTTTTGTCCTCATAGAGATTCATAAGGGGAACTTTGTCCAAAGGAACTTGGTAAAGGTTGAAATTTTGTCCTGTTTTTAGTTTGGGTGGTGGTCGAGGGTGATACATAGTGCATATTTGCTCTTTTATGATAAAGATTGATTGGACTACTTACTAATAAAACTCTGGTGCTAGCTGCAAGTAGTATCTCCTAGGAATACACTATCAACTCAGACCTGCTATGCTATGTAGAATCTGCTCTTTTAGTTGAAGTTATATGATAGCTCAAAGTAACCAGATAATGTTGACTGTTTCTTATCTTCTGCTTCAGGCTTTGGAGCCTACTGTCCATGGACGAGGACGGAAAGAAGACTCGTTTGATGAGATTTATATGGGAGTGTATGAGAATCTGTTGTATGCTCGTAAAATGCAGCCTGTGGAAGGTAAAACTTTGGATCTGGTAAATAGTATTCCATTTCAAATGTACAATTGTTTGTCTTCTTGTGCTCCTCTACTAAATTTAACAAATTAGTTAGTTTTCCGGGAGATCTATAGATTTGTTTTTGAGTGAGTTGTTACTGCATGCCTACCTCTTATCAAACATCTGCAATTTTGATTCCATCTTTTCATTCTGGCTTTCAGGAGCTCAATGGACGGGGATAGTGACAACTATTGCAGTGGAGATGCTAAAAGCTGGGATGGTGGAAGCTGTTGTTTGTGTTCAGAGGTACGGTCTGCATCCAACATGGTTAAAAAGAATTTTGGTTCTCCCTCCTGGTTACTTTCATTGCATTAGTTATGCATTTGAAATTCTGGTTAGTTATTCCATGGTAGCCCTTATTAATAATGATCTAGAAAACCTCACATATTTCAGTACGCATAAAAGTGAAGAATTGTCTTGGTGGAAATCATGATTTTCGTTTTAAGCATTACGTAACATCCTAAAACAGAAAGTAGTACAATATGCATGGCACTGAAGGTTTTTATATTTATGAAATAATTAATACACCAATGTATAGAACTTGATCTTGTTCATTCTTCTGCAAATTGCTACTTTCACGTATTTTCCTTTTCTCTTCCCCATTATATCCAACAATTTATGGACTCTTACCTTCTTCTTTACATTGTTTTAGTGATCCGGAAGATCGATTTACTCCCCGACCTGTCCTGGCAAGGTTTGTGAATGAAATTTCTGTGGTATCTATATCCATGCTGACATATTGATATATTTACCCATTTCCATCCTCCTCTCTGCTTTCATGTTTTCAAAAGGACTCCAGAGGAAGTTATAGCAGCTAAAGGTGTCAAGCCAACACTATCTCCTAATCTAAATACTCTCGCCTTAGTTGAGGTTTCTTCATTCACTTCCATTAGCATCAGAATTATTTACTTGTTTATTATCATCATCAATGCATTTAAATTTAAGTCACTTTATTAAATTTCTGACTGGAGCATGTTGTCCAGATTGAAGATGTCATATCTCTCCTCAGTAGGTCAATGAGACTTCCGTAATTGGAGATTTCATTAAGATGTCATATCTCTTGATAAGTCAGTGAAACTCGTGTAACTGTGCTTTGTAATTTACCCCAATTGGAGATTTCATTAAGAGAAGTTATTTTGATTTATGTTTTTATATTTTGGTTCGAGCTGAATTCCTTTTCCTTGCAATGTCATCTTGCTTGTCCCCAAATGTGTCTTCTCTTTCTTCTGGGAGAGATCGTAGGTTCTTCAGTTGACTTCCTTTTGACACTGTCAGACTGCTTTTCCTCAATTGCTTCCTCCCTTTCCTTTGGGAACTAGCTGCTCTTTCTTTTGTCCTCCTACATGCCAAGCTTTATCGCACATTGAGTAGTCACCCACAGTAGAAGCAGTCTAGTTAGGAGCTACTTTAGGTAATGACATCTACTCTTTGTATAGAAGGTGGTTAACCCTGTTTTAGAATCTCTTAAAAGGTGAAGCCAAAGAATGGTGTTGTCTCTGGTAGATGCTATAAAGAGTAGTTTCTGTTGAATCCTTTCTGGTGCCTTTTTTGGACAGTTTTTTTTCAAGACATGGCAAAAGGACAAATTATTGAAAAGAATTTAGAACGGCCATGAATTTTGTTGTTGTCGTAGGACCCATAGACTATTCTTATTGTTCTCCTCTCCCATTTTACCATTAACGTATGAAATAGTGTTTCTGTTGCGTGTGCCTTCTCCCTTGTGTAATATCTCAATTATTATTATTTTGTTATCTTTTTTAGAAGATGTGATATTTCTCATTTATGAAGCTACTTTACTTCAACTATCTGCATTTTAATTCCTATGTGTGTCTGTCTCTGTGTTACTACATGGTTGTATGAGAAGGGTACTTCCAATTTTGTTTTTATGGTGATTTATACGAAAAAATCTTTATAAAAGTTATGCCCCTTCGGCAAAATTTCTTCTAAGAGTTTGTGTTCTGACAAGATTTCTATATCAGTGGCTGTTTATGTCTCTAGCATGACTACTTCATGAAAAAAAGACGTTGTAATTGTCCAATACTTCGTGAGAAAGGATTCACTACTACGAAATCCATCAGGGTTAAAAAGTGTTAGACTTTTAGAATGCCCTTTATTGTTAATCCTCCAATCAATGTCCAATGAAATACTTTTGCAATCTTTTAAACACGGATCTTCCTAAGCAAGCAAGAATCAGCTGTTATGCTTTGAAGAGAGGTATAAACCGTGGTCCATTCCCTTTCTTGGGTCCGCTGCAGGTTCGGCTGCAAGTGGAAGCATACTGATCAGCTTGTGGACTTCCTGGTTCCTCCATTCTTTACCTTGAAAGGGAGGGGTGGGGGGGGGGGGGGGGGATAGGAAGGAATTATGTTAGAGAATGCTACACTTGTCTGTCATGGGTTGTGTAAGGGTTTCAAAGGGATTTAAATAATCCTGGGCTACTCCAACCATTGCCTTAAGATTTTGGGTTGGATGGTCAGGTTCTTTCACATAGTATCAAAGCCAAACTCTGGTGAGCCTGTTTGCACAGCCGCTCTATCCTATTGTTCTATTGCTCTGGGCTTCTCTCTCTCTCATTTAATTTTAACACCTTTTTGGATGGTTTTTGGCTTCTGTTCATATATCCCTGCTTCAATCAAGCTTAAGTTAGTAGTTGGCTACAGATTGATTTTCTGAGAGAGCAAATACAATAGAAATCATGCATTCAAATCTGACAATTTTTCCTGAGATCTTTCTTTTCTGGTGCTCTCTTTTTTATTCTTGTCATTAGATCTCATATTTACTCTTGAAATTCTTTTATTTCATATACTGAGCTTCTATTTATCTTCTTGTCATAACAATGAAATCCATACAATTACACACTTTCTAGTTGTGCATGCTTTATTGCATTACAAATTGATTTAAAAGGAGTTTTCACTGAAAACTGTAGTGCAAGTTTACAGTATAATTTGATGTAAGCAATCTTCTTCCTTGAAACAGGCAGCTGGTGTGAAGCGACTTCTGTTCTGCGGTGTTGGCTGCCAAGTGCAAGGTATTCATGTTATTATGATCTCTTTGTTTCTGCTTTTAAATTATCGTTTATCATTATATCTATATCACAAGCAGAGCAATTTCGTAACTTGCAGCTTTAAGATCAGTGGAGCAATATTTGAATCTGGAAAAGCTATATGTTCTAGGCACTAACTGTGGTAAGTAAACAGATGCATTCATAAATTCCTTCTCACATCTTTGACTATATCGATTATTCTACCAACTGTTAGAGATTTTGATGAAGGTAGCAATCAAGTCTGTTTGGACAGAGATTTGACCTATTTATTTTTGCTAAATGACAAAAGCTTTGATCTATTAACATAATTCAGAAAGAGTGCCTATTGGCCTAACAATGACATACTATAGTAGTTGAAACCTCTGTTAGGATACCGCTGTTGCAGCTCTCTGTGCCAAAAATGGAAGTTCCTCAGTGCCATGCATATCTGTATAGAGATATGAGGAAAGAGAACATTGTCTGTCCTAAGTAGTCTGTGATAGAGATATTTGAGTTGTGACTGAGATCTTGTGCCTCTATAAGTCATCAAGTAACTGATAGAGTTCATCAACTCTCCTGATATTGCAAGCTTCTTTTGACTTCGAGTCCAAAATGGTTCTCCTTCCTGTTACCTGCACACTTCATAAATATTAGACTTCTGCTGATAGGATGTTTTGTGGATAATGCTGAAAGTGTTACATGAGAGATTATCTCCATACAGTCTCTGTTTCTGTAAGCCAACTCTTGCTCTATCAACAACATCAAAACTTACTATCTTGAATCCTCCTCCTATATCTACATGATGCTTCTCAAAGAGCTGTTCCATAAGGTCTTGTCCCTGTTTCAATCATCCAACAGCTTTTTGAACCGCATATTTGTCTACAATAAACCTTCCTCAATGAAGCCTGTTCCTCTACACCAAATCTCAATAGCCATTCACCTAATAGGGCCTTGCTGAACACCATTATGTGTCAGAGGCCTAGTTCCCCAATTTTTGTGAAGGAGTAAATACCCTCGAATTAATCAGATGATATTTCTTCACAAAGATTCCACTGAAAATTTTCCAGTTTCTCCACTACAGAAGCAGAGAGGGAAAGAAAGACATATAGTTGGTGGGATTGTCTACAAATTGCTTTTTATCAAAAACTCCTTTCCCCTAGATATTTTAGCCGATATTACTGACAGTAGTTTCTTGACAGTGGATAATGGAAAACGAGAAGGCTTAGATAAGTTTCTGAAGGCCGCTAGCAGTGAACCTGAAACAGTTCTTCACTATGAGTTTATGCAAGACTACAAGGTGTGCTCCTGTTATAGTACTTTCATATGAAAAAGGGGTGTGCTAATGCTACTCTTTCATGACAAACTCACCTTCTTTGTGAGACAACCTATGCATCACCTCTGTGATCTTGCAATTCTATACATTCAAGTATAAGCACAAGGAAACCAACTTCTATATTCTCATGTACTTGTCACGGCGATCTGTTTTCTGAATGTTGTATTCTTAAACTTGGCTAAACAATCTTTCTTAACCTGATGACTAGTGTGTTCTGCGTAGAAGATGGTTTTATTTGGCTGGTGAGTCAATTCACTCTTGAAGATGCATTTTACTCTTGGCGTAACTGGTAAAGTTGCTGTCATATGACCAGGAGGTCACGGGTTCAAGCCGTGGAAACTGGCCTCTTGCAGAAATGCAAGGTAAGGCTGCGTACGATAGACCCTTGTGGTCCGGCCCTTCCTCGGACCCCGCGCATAGCGAGAGCTTAGTGCACCGGGCTGCCCTTTTTTACTCTTCATCCCAATTAATTTGTATGCCAGTCTCGTTATCTGGCACGTATCAAAATGTTTGATACCATTTTACTAATAGTATTATTTTATACAACTTTCACAAGTTTCTAGAATACAAGTCTTTTAAACTATTCCAAAATTTAAGGTGTGATTTGATGTTTCTATGTCAACTAACTTCTTTAACTACTATTTAGTATTTTCTTCCATTACTACTTATTTAATACACAAGTTGAAATAATGTCTTTAACATAAAAGTTGACAGAGGGTGTACTGTTCTATGTTGCATCAAATCTGCCTATAAGTAGGAACTTGCAAATGAGGAAGAAAAAACTAAGCTCATATGTGTCTCATTATCCTCTTAGATGAAAATATTTCGACAGTTAATCCTATATAACCATATTTTAGGTTTCTAATTTTATTATCATCTAAAGGATATACTATTGAATTATGTATGCTGGTGTTCTAATCAGTTTAACATACCTGTCTAAGCTCTACATTTCAACAGGTCCATCTGAAGCATTTAGATGGCCATATTGAAGAGGTAAAACAGTATCTACTTTTTCATATCTTCTGTTTTGTCTTAATGCTGTTTATTCAGATTTATATTTTACTAAAGCAGGTTCCCTATTTCTGTTTACCAGCAAATGAGTTGGTTGATGTTATTGCACCATCTTGTTACAGGTATTTCAATTGCTTATTCTTGATTTGCTGACAGTCTTTAAATATTATATGTATACTTATTCCAATTAGCATTTTATGGGCAAAATTCCTTCAGTATTGGAATATAACAACTAGGGAGCAAGTTGATAAGCATGTTTTTATGTGCACAAGGTAGTCTGATGGGGTTATACTTTCTATATGATCTCTAGTTTTCACTAGTCAATCGTCGCCTTTTACTTGAGCAGTTAAGTCAAGATCAGTAAACACTGTCAATTGAAATAAATAAATTAAACAATTAAACATCTATTAAACAATATCAATATGGGTTGCTGTCTAACAGATGTCCTTAAAGTAATGATGCTCTCTAGGTGTAGAAGTTTGAAAGAACATTCTATACAAGGTTAATGTCCTGTATTCTCATGTATCATATATTGCATTATACTGTCTCTACTTCTTCGGAGTATTAACTCGTGCTGATTTGTAAAGTATTCTTTTTTCTGTGTTACAGCTGTTTTGACTACACAAATGGCTTGGCGGTGAGTTTTATGTTCATAACCAAAGGTCCTGATACACTGTATAATACACTTCTTACAAAGAGTACTGATAAAAGAAACATAGGCGAGCTGCAGGTGCCACAGTGCATATGCATACATTAGATTTCCATAGAGCAATAAAAAGAGTACTCTAACTGCTGCTTTGACCAGTCTTCAGAATTTGAAGTGTTCAGTATTAGAATATTAGAGTTAGAATATTATAAGTGTTAAGTTCTTAAGATATTATCTCATTGGACAAATATCATATGTTTTTTTGTGTTTGACATCTATAATATCTTTTCTACATTTCTGTATTTCAAAAATATCAAACCCAAATTGTTCTCCGCACCTTGGGTTTTAGGGGGCATGTTAGAATGTTAAGTGTTACTAATGGAGTATGAAAAATTTAAAATGTTAGATGTGTTAAGTTTGTAAGTTAGATTATCCTGCATTAACAGATGAGTATTATTGTTTGATCTTATAGATAGGTGTGTATTGCAGTCATCAAATTGTCAAATCTTGAATATGTCTCCTCTTATTTTCTCAAAAAAAGAAGCTTTTCCAGTGCTTAGTTTCCTGAGGGGGAAAAAGGTTTTGCAGAAGTAGTCTCAATCATTGTCAAACTCAGAAATTTGGTTTTGGAGCTGCACCTGGCTACTAATTTGCTCCAACTGTTTCTTAAGTGAAAGCTTGTGACATATCCAGAGATGAGATTCCGTGGTTCACGTCCAGAAGGAATTTTGTAGTCAAGTCCTTTTGGTCCTGGATTAATGCATGGTGGTCCAGTTCATATGTTTGCTCTTTAAGGTTTTCACAAAGCTTTTTCAGTAAACGTACCTTATCAAAAAAAGATTTTTCAGTAAATGTTTGATGCTACATTTATTATCCATTGCAATTAAGTACTTTTTGCTCCTAAAAGATTTACCTGTTGCTGTCCTGCTCCATTACGGTGGTGTTCCAGATGTTACTGAGGCAGATTATTTCTTCTGAATAAAAGCAAAACTTGATATCCTGTTAACCTTACCTTCAAGAAAATTTCAGGATTTGGTGGTGGGATACATGGGTGTACCAAAATATAGTGGAATCAGCATGATGCAGCATCCGCAATATGTTACAGTCAGGTAAAGTAATGCCAAATGTTTTAATCCTTTGACTGGGTACAAAGGGCATGTCGTTTGCTTTACCATGGAATAAGCTTTTTAAAGAGATACTTTTGCATATTCCTAATGCAGAAATGAACGTGGTAGAGAAATGCTAAGCCTTGTCGAGAACCTTTTGGAAATTACTCCAACGATAAGTAGTGTAATAGATGCTGCTCCATCTCGTAACGTTGCCCTTAAACTCTTTCTTGTATAATATAACTATCTTAAGGCATGCATCTTATTTCAGGGTAACCGGCGTCTATTTGTCGTAGAAACCGTGAAGGCAGATGATGAAGCAAAATTTGGTATGCGGTTATCTTGTGTAATATAGTCATCATAAGTAGTTACTAAGCAGACTCTCTGTGTACCCATGCTAGTTCAGAATTTGATATCTTCTCTCGGGTTATGTACTGTTCTTGGTGGGTCCATCTGCGAGGCACGTACTTTAATCAACTATCTGAGTTTTTATCTCATCTTTATCACCTCGATGTCGTAGAAAAATGGGAACTGTAGGGGATTATGCAAAATTCAATCCTTTCTTATGTCGTGTCTCATTTTCTAATTTTTGCTTGTTCAAGTTCTGCAGCCTTTAATGAATTTATTACTACGCTTAGACCACCCTTAATTCATAAATTTCTTAGTCTATTATTTGCTGATTCTGGTCCTTGACAAATACTCTTCTTTATGTTTAGCTATTTCACCATTGTTTATCTAATCAGATTTTTCTGGATGGGAGAGAGACTGATCATAGTTGACTCTCAAATAAGTTTGATATTTCTTATAGTATATCTGTTATGTTGTATATACAGGCATAGCAAAACACTACTTCATTTACTTCTATAGTATGTGGCACATCTCATTGACTATTTACGCTGGCCTAAGAGTTAACCTTAATTTGTTTTGATCATTAAAAGTCAAGTGGTTGGTATTGCTCAAGGCAGAATCCTGAGAAGTAAATCTTTTTCTGTTATGATCTTGAAGTAAATATTTTTCTCTATGATGTTTGAACCTTTCTCCATGATCTCACAAGACTCATGCAAAACTTTCTGAATTTCCAGGAAGAGGTCCTGCTCAACCTGCTCCAAAGTTTGTTGGAAATTTAATTGCATTTTTTCTCAACATAGTAAGATTTTTTTTGTTCATATACTTGTGAATTTCAGAAATGATAATAAATTCCTTCTCAAAAAGAAATGATCATAAATTCAATGTGCTAAACTTGGTTCTCTGGGTTCAGGTTGGACCGAAGGGTCTAGAATTTGCACGTTACTCACTAGATTACCACACAATCAGAAATTATTTACATGTAGTCCGCAAGTGGGGAAAGGAAAGGTTTGTAGAGAATTAATGTTTATTCCAGTATGAGGGATAAACTCGTGTTCTTCTCTAACTACTGTGATATTTGTGAAAGGCAGAGCTGACAGACACATGCCAGCATATGCAAAGAAAATTGTTAGCATGTACAATCAGAGTGGAGAAATTGATCAAATGCTTTCCAGCAAGTGAATAATTTGATGGTGAACCTTTGGTGATTGCAACTTCTCATGTACGTAAATAGCGTCAATTTTTAAAAACATTACTGCATGTATTATCAAAAGCAGAGATGCATCCGGTCTATAGAAGTTTGAGGTAGTCCAATTTTTACATTTCAAATTGAACATGCATTTGAAATAACACATTTTGATAGAGCAAAAGCAATTTCTTGTATAATAATTAACTATGTTGATTATTGGTAAAAAAAATTCTTCATATATGTGACTTAGTTTCAGATGCTTGAGTACTGAATGTAATAATTTGCTTATCAGTAGTCAATTCGACCTCTCTCCAGAATGAAATCTTAAGATGATTTATAGTTTTCGAAGATAAAACTTTCATCTTTTCAAACCATGTACAACGTATAATGATATGGAAATTCATTTTTCTAACATATCTTAGAAATGGTTAAAAGTATTAGTCATATACAATGAAAGCTGACTGGTGGACTATGAACTCAAATGGAGGGGAAGTTTCTTATCCAGGTACATGACTTTCTTTGCTCTAAGAGATAAAAGATGGTGAAAACAGAATTGTTGGTTTATGATCAATGCTTGATCGTTTGGATTTTTCGGAGTTCCTTCTCCAGACATGAATGTTCATAGGCATTGTTCAATGGACTTCTTAAGTGGATTTTTACACAGAAAGTAGTCAAGGAAATTAACAAGGACTCTTGTCACACAAGTTAATCCACACTTATTTACGTGAGGATTTATAACAGAGATGCAAACATCAGTGTTAGGGTGCAACTTTAGAGGTGGATACAAAGACATAAACTTTTTGGAAGTTAGGATGGAAAAGAAATCACTAAGTGTTAGGAGTATTAATCTGTGTAATTAAACATTAAAGGGCAGCCCGGTGCACTAAGCTCCCGCTATGCGCGGGGTCCGGGAAGGGCTGGACCACAGGGGTCTATTATACACAACCTTACCTTGTATTTCTGCAAGAGGCTGTTTCCATGGCTCGAACTCGTGACCTCCTGGTCACATGGCAACAACTTTACCAGTTAAGCTAAGGCTTCCCTTCTGTGTAATTAAACATTCTGATTTTTTTTAGAAGTTCTTTACTAAGTCTTAGCTGCAGTACCTGCAGGTCTCTCCTTGAAATCTTGTAGCCTGTTGTCTCACGTTTTTATGTAACACCTATACATATTTTAACTTCAGCAATCACAGGATACACAATCTTCAGGTAGGACATGCAGCAGTAAGATACAAGGACAGTGCCCACCATCCAACTCAAGTGAACACTTGCAAAGTGATTGCATGATAGATCAGAGCATGAAGGAATGGGCATTCTCATGGATATGGTCTGTGACCAGGCCATGTGTATTCCTCTCTCGGTAAGAGCGATGTCCAATAATATGTCGCAAGGTTAGAAAAACCTAAGTAAATTCCACTGCAAAATGACATAATAACAACTGTAGCTTCAATGTCATGTGTTAAATTCAAACACTTTGCATGGAGCAAGTTGAGGAACATGAACTGTGTGTTTTAAGTTCAATAAGGTTTGAAGCTGACTTATTTTTATATACTTTTTTGCAAGACTTTTGTATGTGGTGGTGAAGCAATTCTAGATGGGACACTAGATAAAGGTTTGCTGCATGCTTGATTCAACAGCATGGGAACTCATATGGGTTGTCTATATATGTACTACTGCTTTGGATTTTCTTCTTTTTGTTAAATCTTTTCTGTCAGTAGAATTCTTTTGTTCTTCTTCATTGTGAAATGGGAAATTTAAGTCATGTTGGATCTGATTGAAAAACCAAGTTAGTTCAATTCCCATTTTTTTTTTTATAATAGATTGTTAAAAACAGGAAATAAAATTTGTCACCAAGGAGACAACCATGGACCACTTTTCTGAACCTATAAACAGCCTTCTTCCTCCCACAGTTCCCTTCATACCCCCCCCCCCCCACCCCCTTTAAATTTTAATAAGAAAAGAGAGAGAGAAATGAAAACTACAGTTTATAGATATTGTACAGGAACCTAATAAAGAAGAATGAGACAGGAGAAAAATCTAGGATGCTAACATGGAAATGATTCATATAGATTTTGCTGATAGGTAGCTTGACTAGATGGATAAAATGAATCATTGTTTTTATTTTCCAATTTTCTATTTTTGGTAAGGCAAGCTGTTATATGAGATATTATGAACAAAATGTTAGAAATATTTTGACTTCTGAGGAAGGGAATATGTGGATGAAAAGGATTTAGGAAATTTCCAATTCATTCATGGTGCTTTGACCCCTGAGCTACCCCATCCATGCAGTTGTCCCCTTTGAAATTCAAGATAATCTCACTTCACTAGGTGATAATGTCTGAGCTAGACTCATATGGCACTAGTCTGAGGTATGGAATTCTAATTCTATCTAATTTGGGAAACCTCTTAAAAGTATACTATTATACATGTGACTCTTTAAGAAAGATTAAACAGTATCAAACTATTCTCCAAGTTTGACTTTTTCTTTAATAACCGAGAAATTTTTGAGGGCTAGCTAGCTGGTGCCCTATTCGATACTCAGTGAATAATGGGCTCATTCCTTACCCTTTTTTATATACCAAGCTTTTTGTCTGCGGTAAAGCTGTCTCTGTGTGACCTATAGGTTACGGTTCAGCCGTGGAAGCAGCTACTAATGCTTGCATTAGGGTAGACTATTTATATCACACCCCTTGCGGTGTATCCCTGCCGGATGCTTTGTGCATTGGGCTGCTCTTTTTGTCCGCGGTAGAATTATAAACTTATGATGTGCGTCTAACCCACAGATCACGTGCTGCGGTTTTATACTGAACCAAGCCTTGGGGCTATCTTACAAGTTTGACTTGAAGGCAATGGAATCTTTTTAACCCTCCCTTTTCTTTTTTTTTTTTTTTTTTTGTGGGCTCTATCCATGTGCTTGGCAACATGGAGGTGCTCTAAGAGTTTTACATAGGTATTTCCTGAACTAAAGTTGTGAAGAGTCTCTGTCATATTTAAATAGAAATAAGGGATGTTCTGGAATTATGGATATTTGGTCCACCATATTTAATGGGACCCTAGGTGGACCATGTTCTAAAGATAGATCCCATCAGTAGAATAAATGACTAGGGTGGACCAAAATTTATTGAGTGAGAGAACCTATCTATTACCTTTGACCCTTCTTTACCAACTTGATAAAATCAGAAAATGAATTTTCCTTCACAAGTACTGAAGCATGATGTACGAGAGGCAATAACAACAACAACAACAATCCACTACAATCCCACAAGTGGGGTCTGGAGAGGGTAGTGTGTATACAGACCTTACCCCTACCCGAGGGGTATATATGCTATTTCCGAAAGACCCTCGGCTCAAGAGTCATGATGCATAAATTGAACAACATACTTACATAGTACATCACTCTTTTTAAATACTTTTTGTGGAACTGGTTAAATTACTTACAGGGAAAGGAGATATATAAAGTCACATTTTCTATTACATATTATTCACCTTTTGTACAAATTTTCCTTAGAAGTAGATGCTGAAAAAGCCTCTTCTTCCTACAAAAATTCCCAAATATGAATTTTGGGATTTCTCTGGAGAGGGCTGCCCTCTGTTTTGTCTCTTCCTTCTCTTGTCACAAATG